CATGAAGATCAAATAATATGCACACCCAAAGAAGGCAGTATCTACTGCACTGAGTATAAATATGCTGGTATTGGAATAAAGATGAGATTCTTGGGAAAAAGACAGCTATGTGTCCATTACATAAATCCCTAGGAACTACAATGGTGTTTTTATATAATCCTAGTTTGTAACAACTTAGTATCTTCCACCATGTAACAAGTTAGCATCTTCCACCAAGCCTCCCATTAAGTCTCTGAATTTTTTGGTACAGGAACGGAAAAGTCAGTTTTGCCAACTAAGAATTTATCCCTACCAGAAGAAGATGATAGCTAAAAAAAGTTAGCAAAAAAATTAGGTTCTGGCATTGAAAGAAAATGGTAACATCAATAACCCCACTGTCTGGGGCTGCGTCTACAAGTCACGCAATTTTCACCTAACAGCAAGAACTTCTACTGCTGTTTTTAGTAACACTCAAAATTGTGCATCCTTCATTTCGTGCTAAAGGAGGAGGGAGATAAAACCATTATACACGTTTGCTTCAAGATTAGAAGCAAGAACTCCACTCATCCCAATACTTCTTAACCACAAAAGGTACTTATGGGGAAAGAGAGAAGCAAAGACCTCTCATCTACTGTATAGCTATGACTTGTCTGTGGTTCGGCCTACTAAACAAGACACAGTCTAGGAATTCACCAGGAAAACACTCCACAAAAAAAGCCCAATTGGTTGCAGTTACAACATAATCCTTTGACTAAAGCACAGCAGCACCCAGCAGGAAGAGGCCAATCCCCTCAGCACATCCAGATGCACCTTGCCCCAAGCATAAATCAATGGGCTATTTTTTTCCTGACAGAGTGGCAGGAAATTTGGCAATTTTGTTGCTGCTTCTTCCCATCTATCCACCTGTGCCAGTCCATGGTCTGGGAAACCAAAGAGATAAAACCAAACTTGGATTTGATCTCGCTCCAAAGATGTAGAGGGAAGGCAGGAGAAAATATTTAAAACAGACAAGCACTGAGGTGAGCCCTCCTCACACCTTCAGCTGCTGCACCAGCCCAATAGAAAGGGCAGAGCTGAAGTGCGAATGATAGTGTTGAAATAGGTCCTGCTCTACCTTAGGGATTACAGAAGGGCAGGATGACCCGGTTGGACTATGGCAGATACAGCTTAGCAGTTATCATGATCACTTTTTGTTGTCATCTTATTGCAGGGATTCCATACAGTTGTCTCCTATCACAAAAGTTTCATAACTTCTTGATGTGTTCTCATGAGCAACTCCTCAGAGCAGTGCCTCTTTCTTCTTCACAAAGCAGCCAACTGACTCCAGCTCCCTCTCAATCAGCCACCCCACTCTTTTATAGCACTCTTCTTCTCATTGGTTACAGCTGTGGCCTCCTAAAGTCAGGCCTGTTCCTAATCTTTGATAATTGGCCCAGCTGCAACTCCTTAGGGGTAAGATTACTTTCTACACTATCTTTATTTTCTTATATTCTATCCCCCTACAAGTTTTCTCACAGCTTCCTGCTTTAGGCCCTTGCCAGAAGCACTAATCCCCAGTTCTCCACAGAGAACCAATAATTTTAGCTAAAACACATGGATGTCACTAACAGCTAGGCTGGCAGAACTGAGGGGACAATAAGGACGTACTCTAGGCCATGCCCCTGGGCCTGGCCACCTGAAGCACACAGGCCCAGAGACCCTGACTGAGGGGGAGTCCAGAGGCTGTGTCCCCCCTCAAACAGGGAAGCTGCCATGGCTGGAATGGGCTGATCCCAAGCAGGACTCAACCACCTGGACCTACTGATGGCAAAGGGAAGAAGCAACTAAGAAAGAACAGTCACCAGGAGAGCTTATGCTTCAGAAACACGACAACATTCAGACTACAGACAGCTATCAACCCTAATATTAGCAGCTGAAACACACTGTGGGATTGTGGGGGGATACAATATAAGCAAAATAAAGATAGTGCAGAAAGTAATCTCACCCCTAAGGAGTTGCAGTTGGGCCAATTATCAAAGATTAGGAGCAGGCCTGAGCAGGCCACAGCTGTAACCAATGAGAAGAAGAGTGCTATAAAAGAGTGGGGTGGGTGTTGAGAGGGAACTGGAGTCAGTTGGCTGCTTTGTGAAGAAGAAAGAGGCAGTGCTCTGAGGAGAGAAGCTGTCCATGAGAAACACCAAGAAGGTATGAAACTTTTGTGATAAGACAACAGTATGGAAGCCCTGTAATAAGATGACAACATGGGATAATGGCAAAGCCAAAGCCCCTAGAGAGAGATCCTATTAATAGGCACAGATCATTTAAAGTGTTTAACATGTAAATTTTGTCCCAATTTCACCATTAAAACTTAGCGTTAAACCTTGCTCAGCAGACACAGAGCTTGGCATTTGCTGCAGAAGGAAGAACTGGGCTGAACTGAAAACCTTGGATGCTCCACACCACATAGAATCTGAAATTACCTGATAGCAAAGGCACATTAGAGGGACGATTACCCCATGGAGAATGAGGCATAAGGAGTATTTCCTACAAAGTTACACAAGTAGCAGAGACACCAGCAGTACGCTCGGGAGAGACCTACTTTGCCAGCTATCCTCCCTGAAGTAAGCCAATGCAGCATTTTAAGTGACATTTTCATTTAATTATTTCACATGTAGAATCCCCATTTTAGCCACACAGCATGAGTTAAATTGTATCTGTCACACAGTGAGATAAACTTAACATGAAAACTTGGAAATTGTGTAATTAGTTCAGATTAATTTAGGACAAGAATAATTATATGAAACTACTTTAAAAATCTACCACACCTTACATTTAATGTCTCTGCTGAACGTAAACATTTATAGCATTAACACTAAGGCACTATTCAAAGGCTCAGGCATTGAGGAATACATTTTAGCTGAAATAATTCTATTTCTATCCAGAAGGCCAGCAGACCCCTCCTGGACCTGTGCTGCTGGATCATAGAAAAAACTCAGTGCTAAAGGACTTTTCATACAGTGAGTATGTGAAATTTTAAGCAGCAGCAACAGGGCCACCTTTACAGCACTGCACTTGGATGATGCTGGTATTACCAGACTTTGCACTTGAGGCTTCGTTATTTCAGAATAGTCTGCATTTTACTTTCATTTGTTTCATCACTCTTTCAGTAAATGCTTCTCAGGCTCATTAAAAACGTGATTTGGGTAAGGATCAGAATTTCAACTACAAAGAAGCAAATTAAGCTTCAAAACAGATGTAAACAGATATATAAAGAGAAGAACAATTCAGCAGAGTATTTAATGATGTGATTTTTCTGAATACAAATGTGCTAAAAACATACTAGCACTACTTCTTAAAACACATGCTTAAAACAAAAACTGTTCCAAGTTTAAGATGCTCAAATGTCTACAACTCTAACACCCTAAATGCAAGCACTTAGCAAATGCAGAGCAAGTCTTGAGTTTTTCAAGTTTACCAAAAGCAGGGAGGCAAGACAAAAGCAATTATAAGCTGCCTTAGAAATTTTTTTTGCCATTAAGAAAAAAAAAACAACTACTGAAACCCCAAATCCAAACCAGTTCTGGTTTTGGTAGATTTTGTTTGTATGGGTTTTTGTGGTTTGGTTTTGTTTGGGTTTTTTTTGTATTTTTTGGGGGTGTTTTTGGTTTGGGGTTTTTTAATGACAATGAGGTTGCGGTTTTTAATGACAATTAGGTTAAGAAAATCCCATAAACTACACCCTCTCCCATGAAAAATCATAGAATGAGTTACCTCCTTTTGTCGTCCAACAAATCTAACTCTTCTATAGTCCTTCTCATCATATACCTAGAGTGTAAAATAAACTTGATCTTATTTACAGAGCAACAATTATAAACATAGAACACAAAGACTTAGAAAATAAATATCTTGAAATGTATACTTAGATTCAAATATGATCACCTTACAAGCATGTAGTACACAGAAAAATTGGCTTCCATTTCCCTCCCACAAGTAACTGAATTGCACATTGGAAAGTACAACAGACAAGGAAACTGGTGGTGTTGGGGCTGGCATGAAAGCCAGTAAACAGAAGAGCCTGATTACAGAAATGAACACAAATGTATTATTTATAACGCTGCTCCTGGATCTCACCTAGGTGGTAATGTAAACTGGGAAATTCAGATATTGTATGTATTTCTGTTCTGCTAAGTAACCACCGTGCCAGCTTTCTCAAGCTAGCTCCACCCGCCATCCTTCCTCCCATCTCAAGGCATCTCAGGAGCCTCAGCTTCTCCATTGGAAAAGAGGTAACCTGGAGTTACGAGGCACTGACACAAGGGTGTCTCCTCCACCTGCCAACCCTTCGGCCGGGTCGGATTCGGACCGGAACGCTCGGTAATGGCCAATGACCCCGATCCTGATCAACGGGGTTTGTTTTTGTTTTTTTCCGAAACAGCGCGCACCTCCTGTGTACGGATCACCCAGGAGCATGAATTCCCACTGTCCGCGCTGAACGGAGAATCACAGAATAAATTAGGTTGGAAAAAACCTCTGACATCGTCAAACCCAACCAGGACCGAAAGCCACCATGGCAAGCAGACCGTGGCACTAAGCGCCACATCCAGCCATTTCCTCAACACCTCCAGGGACGGACGCGCCACCGCCTCCCTGGGCGGCCGATTCCAGTACCTAACCAGTGTTTACAGCAAGAAATTCCTCCAGCTGTCCACCCTAAGCCTCCCCGTTACGGTACACCACATTACACCAGCGCGCTGCCCGCGGCCCCGGCGGGACGCGCCCGCCGCCCTCCCGGAGCAGCGGAGGGGCGGCAGCACCGGGCCCCGCGCGCTCACCTGCCCCGTGTGCGTCACCAGCTCGCCGGTGTCGGAGGCCCGCACACCGTAGGGCCGGGCGGCAGCAGCGGCAGCCAGCTCCGGGCGGGCCAGCAGCAGGCGGCTCCGCGGCAGCAGCCAGCGGAAGGTCGCGGCGGGCGCCGCCATCTTCGCGCCGCCCACGTGACTCCCGGCCGGGCGGGCGCGGGCCTCGCCCCGCCCCGGTTCCTGCTCGCGCTTCCGGCGGCGGGAGGGACGCGTGGCCGCGGGCGGGGAGCGCTGCTTTCCGCGGGGGTGAGCGGGCAGCGGTGTCCTTAGCGGTGGCGGGAGCGGGGCGGGTGTTCTCATCGGTGGGGACGGTGGGTGGTATTGCGGCGGCGGAAGAGGAGGGGCGGAGCGGGAGCGGTGCGTGTGTCCTGACCGGCGCGCTGTCCCCGCAGGGTGCCGGGCATGCTGTCCCTCCTGGTCAGGGCCGCCGCCACGGCCGCCCCGCTGCGCTCGCTGTGCCGCTCGTCCCTGTGCTCGCTGGCTCCGTGGGGACGGGCGGCGGGGCTGCCCGCGGCCTGTCCGACCTGGGCCCCGCCGCCGTGGTGGGCTCCCCGCGGGCTGCTGGCCGTGTTGCCGCCGCAGCTCGGGCCGCCACCGGCGGCCGGGCTGAAGACGAAGACGGCGCTGAGGAGGCGCTGCAAGGACTGCTACATCGTGCGGCGGCGCGGGCGGCTCTACGTGTGCTGCAAGAGCAACCCCCGGCACAAGCAGCGCAAGGGGTAGCGCCGGCCGGGAGCCCGCAGCGCACAGAGCTGGCGCCGTGCTCGGCGGCCGGGCCCGGAGCCCCACGCTGGCCCGCGGCCTCCGGGAGCTGGCAGCTGGGGACACGAGTCCCGGAATCGTGTGCCTGACAGTGTTTCATCTTTGGAACACCGAGAGCGAGGTGCGGTCTTGGCGGCCCTGTCCGGAATTTCAGGCCTTGGATGCGGAGAGCTGAAGTGGGAAACAACAGGCTTCAGGATCTCTTGTCGTCCGAAACGTGAAGCCTTAAAATCACCGCGCTGTTAAATTAGGAAGGGTGAAGCTGGATCACTGGACTCTGAGGTGCATTTGGGTTTAATTAAGCAAAATGAAAATAAACTCCATTGATTTTCATTAGAACTACAACACATTGCAGTTTTTTTCTTGAGCACGCTTCCCCCCCCCGTCCCAAGATGTTGATAACAGAATCAATAGTTTCAAACTCAGGTGGGCAATTTCAGATTCCATCTAACTTGCCTTAAGATTCTGCCAAGCTTTAGGCTCACTCTAATCGATTGGTGAGGTGTAAGAATATGTTTCTTTTCTTGTGTCCCTTGAAGGAGCTCTCCTAAGAGGTCATATAGCCAAGATAGACGTTGAATGCAAACTAGTGGATTGGTATCCATTAATTAATTAGAGCCAAAATTGCTTCAGTCACCAGTGGTATTCCTCACACTTCTCAATATGACTCTGCTTGAGGCAGGAGTGTTAGATCATCCTCTGAACTGCAAGTTCTTAGCAAATGGTGCTAAACTAAACTTTCGGAAAACTGTCCTGTTATGGCTACAGGTTTGCCAGAGTACTGTGAGAAAGTGTCCCTGACTTGAAAGAGGTGAAATTGGTTGAGCACTGTGTTTTAAGTTGCTGTAACATTGGATAGTATGATGACTTGACCTTTTCTGCCCAGTTATAATTCCACAACTTTACATTAACTTTTATAATTTCTATATTTTTGCTTAGTGCTTGTAGACAATGAGACTCAGCCTGTGAAGCTGTGGCTAAGCATTCCAGAGGCAGTAATTACTGGTTTTCCATATGTTGGGTGGTTTGTCTTTTCACTCATCTATCTCATCACTGGAAATGAGGGTTTGGAGAGAGAGAAGCAGGTGAGTTAACGTACACATCCATCTTAGGGGGCATTCAAATGAATTCTTGGCAATGGGAGGAGAGAAAACAGGCTAGCTTCATCTAACTAGAGAGACAGATTGATTCAAAACATGTAAGGCTCCTCAAAATCAACCTTGAAGTAGTGGAAAACTTGCTGTACTTCGGAAGGTTTGATTGAAATTTGGATGCTCATGAAAAAGCATGAGCATCCAAGAACTTCTGCCTTCTAAATTCCTGCAGCTTGTGGGTAAAAGTAAAATGTAAGCAGAGAAATTTCTCGGAAATATTTTACGCCTTTACCATGCTTTGACAGTTAAGCTGTCTTAGGAACTGAAGATTTTAAAATCTCTGACTCTCAGTGTTAATGGTAGGTGTGTGCTGTGTGTTTTGTTCCAGCAGAAGAAAAGGCCTGTGTGCTGTGAACCTCTTGTGATACCTTGTGAGTTTAGCTATTTAGTACACCTTTAAAGTAAAGAGCACATGACCAAAAAACCAGTGTTTTCCAGGCCTACCCACTTTTCTGGTGGATAGTAAGGACTGACCTGTGGATTGGGCATGAGATGAAGTGAGGGTCTGTTCGTTGGTTGGGCTTTTTAGGAAAGAGAGTTGGCAGGTGCTCTTACAGCCTCACAAGCAGTTCATCCAACCCCTTGGTTCAGTCAGAAAAAGGCAGCTCATTGGGACAAAGCAAACTGTGCTGCTGGATTGCTGAGGAGGTACCCAAACGCTTAAGGGCTCTCTTGCCAGGAGCTGTGTCAGATGGTTAAGAGACACCTGCAAGTAAGAATTGCCAGGGTGAGGAGCAGCAATCATTACCTGGGAAGACTTTCTGAGTTCAGTGGCATGTGAGACAAATTCACTCTGCCAGGCTGGTGTGAAATACGGTCTGCACTCAGAAATGGAGCGAAATTTAGGGCTAGGATTACTCTGCAGCAGAGAGAGGCACAAGTTACTGTTTTCATCTCCCCCTTTGGCCTAAGACAAGCTTTTATACAGTGCTGACTCAGCATCTTACTTCAACAACTTACAATGAGGAAAAATTTTTTCCTAATTAAACCCTTTGAATGTAGGGTTGCTGGTCAGAAACTTGAGATGTGAAGTAATTTGAATTTATATGTTTATTATGCCTGTAAACATTTCATGTGTCATTGTCTGAACAGTCAGTTTGAGATACCTGGTGTGGAACATTCATGGCCATCACTGAAACAGCATATTTGGTTGTGCTCAATAGATTTTGGAAAGAGGATTATAGGATTAGAAACTAGGAGGCTCTGAATTGTAATTGTACTCTGCCACTGACTTGCTGTGTAATCAAAGGTTTGCTGTGTAATCAAACGTAATTTTGCCTTTGTCTCAATTTTCCATCTGTTAGGCAGGGGTATTGAATCTCACGCTTCTAAGTACTATTTTTTAGTTGATGTCTACAAACTATTATAGAGGCGTTCTAAAAAAATCAGATTCTATAGCTTTCTGTAATTTGAATGACGTGAGGAAAGTGACTGTAGCTGGGGTTGATGCGTGTTTATTTTAGGTTTGTTTACAGCAACTGCAAAATGAGCAGGTGAAATAATTCAGCCAGTAGCCTTGTGGTTGATAGCCACAGGTTCGAGTCCTTCATTACAGACCTTCTGAATGTTGTGCTCTACCTCAACAGCAGTTGGCAAAGGAGGGGGTACACAACAACCACTGAAATTACCCAGGCCAGAAATTTAGTCCTGGAATACTAAAAATACCAATCTATGTTAGTTCCTTAATTGTATGTGTTTTCTTTTTTATTTCTACCCCTGGGGGCTGAAAGGGAGGAGAATGATAAGGAGAACACAGCCAGAACATAAAATGTTTTAGGGAGGAAAATAGTACCCCATAACACAGGAAGAAGAATCCCTACACTGAAGACTGAAATAAGACAGAGGTTCAAATTACGTTTTTAGCTTTTGGCTTCCTACTGCTTACCTGTCTAGGTTACCCCCTCCAGAAAATCTTCATTCTTTAAATGAAGAGTGATCATGAAATAATAGAGTTCTCAATATTTGGTGAAGTCAGGAGGAGCACCAGTAAGACTCTTATATTGAACTTCCGGAGGGCAGACTTTGGCCTCTTTAGGAGACTTATTCAGAGCGTCCCTTGGGAAACGGCCCTTAAAAACAAAGGAGTTCAGGAATGCCTCAAAACAGAGATCTTGAGGGCACAGGAGCAGACTGTCCCTGTGTGCCGAAAGATCAGTCAACAGGGTAAACGTCCAGCCTGGCTGGGCAAGGAGGTTTTGGAGGTACTTAGGAATAAAAAGAGGATGTATCAGCGTTGGAAGGAGGATCAGGTCTCTAAGGAAGTATTCAAGAAGGCTGCTGGAGCATGCAGAAAAAAAATGCGGGAGGCCAAAGCTCATTTTGAACTTAGAATGGCGACTTCTGTAAAGGATAATAAAAAATGTTTTTACAAATACCTTAATGCTAGAAGGAAGGGTAAGACCAGCCTTTTTTCTTTATTGGGCAGGGGAGGGTAGTTAGCATCTGCAGATGAGGAGAAGGCAGAAGTGCTTAATGCCTACTTTGCCTCAGTTTTTAGTGGGAAGATGACTTGCCCTCAAGACACCTGCCCGCCTGGAATGGTTGATGGTGTCAGAGAGCAGAATGGTCCCCCCATTATCCAAGAAGAGGCAGTCAAAGAACTACTGAAATGCTTGGATGTTCATAAATCTATGGGACCAGACGGGATCCACCCCAGAGTAATGAGAGAGCTGGCAAATGAGCTTGCAAAGCCACTCTCCATCATTTACCAACAGTCCTGGCTCACTGGTGAGGTTCCGGATGACTAGAAGCTGGCCAATGTGATACCCATTGACAAAAAGGGTGCAAAGGAGGATCCTGGTAATTATAGGCCAGTCAGCCTGACCTCAGTACCTGGCAAGATAATGGAACAGTTTATATTAAGTGCCATCACACAGAATTTACGGGATGGCCAGGGTATCAGATCCAGTCACCATGGGTTTAGGAGGGGTAGGTCATGTGTGACCACCCTGGTCACCTTTTATGACCAGGTATCCCACCTAGTGGATGCAGGGAAGGCTGTAGATGTTGTTTATTTGGATTTCAGCAAGGGCTTTGACACTGTCTCCCACAGCACACTCCTAGACAAGCTGGCAGCCCGTGGCTTGGACAGGAGCACTCTTTGCTGGGTTAGGAACTGGCTGGATGGCCGGGCCCAGAGAGTGGTGGTGAATGGTGCTGCTTCCACCTGGCAGCCAGTCACCAGGGGTGTCCCTCAGGGGTCTGTGCTGGGGCCAGTTCTGTTCAATATCTTTATTGATGACATGGATGAGGGTTTAGAGTCTTTCATTAGCAAATTTGCAGATGACACTAAGCTGGGAGTGTGTGTCGATCTGTTAGAGGGACAGAGGGCTTTGCAGAGGGACTTGGAACGGTTGGATGGATGGGCAGAATCTAATGGGATGAAGTTCAATAAGTCCAATTGCCAAGTCCTGCACTTTGGCCACAATAACCCCCTGCAACATTACAGGCTGGGGACGGTGTGGCTGGACAGTGCTCAGGAGGAAAAGGGCCTGGGGGTGCTGGTTGACAGTCGGCTGAACATGAGCCAGCAGTGTGCCCAGGTGGCCAAGAAGGCCAATGGCATCCTGGCCTGTGTCAGGAACAGTGTGGCCAGCAGGAGCAGGGAGGTCATTCTTCCCCTGTCCTCGGCACTGGTGAGGCCACACCTTGAGTACTGCGTCCAGTTCTGGCCCCTCAGTTTAGGAGGGACGTTGAGATGCTTGAGCGTGTCCAAAGGAGAGCAACGAGGCTGGTGAGGGGCTTGGGACACAAGCCATATGAAGAACGACTAAGGGAGCTGGGGTTGTTCAGCCTGGAGAAAAGGGGACTCAGAGGTGACCTTATCACTCTCTTCACCTTCCTGAAGGGTGACTGTGGTGAGCTGGGGCTCGGTCTCTTTCTCCAGGCAACAGCAGACAGAACAAGAGACACAGTCTCAAACTGCGCCAAGGGAGATACAGGCTAGAATTAAGGAGGAAGTTTTTCACAGAAAGCGTGGTCAAATACTGGAATCATCTACCCAGGGAGGTGGTGGAGTAACCATCCCTTGATGTGTTTAAAAAAAGACTGGATGTGGCACTTGGTGCCATGATCTAGTTGAGGTGTTAGAACATGGGTTGGACTCGATGATCTTGAAGGTCTCTTCCAACCTAGAAATGCTGTGATTTTGTGATTCTGTAAATCCCCACAGTGGAGTGGGAATGTGACCTG